CTCCGCAGGAGCGCGAGACGTCGCGGCGCCGGCGTAACTCCCCCCGGCGCTACCAGCAGCAGGCCCCGTGGCCAGCTCACCCAGGTGGCAATGGGGGTTGGCGGGGTCCCCAGGGGCGCAGTGGAGGCGGGAGGTATCGTCCGCCCGTGACGCTGGCGGACCTCCAGCGAGAAGTGTCACGGGAGGTGTCGCGCGCCGTGCGCCAGGGGAGGGCAGCGCCGAGCCAGAGCAGTTCGCTGCGGGCTGCTCCGGAGCACGTGGCTCCCCGTTCGCCTGTCCCTCCTGAGGTCCCTCCGCCGGCTGCTGCTCCTCCTCCTCACGTTCCTGCCCCGTCCGCTCCTTCACCTTCCGTAGCCCCGCCGGCTCCCGGCTCCCGCCTGCATCTGCCGCCAGTTCCGCCTGTCGCGGGGGTAGAGTTCGTGGCAGCGGGTGGTGGCGCGGCGGCGGCTCAGTATGCAGCTGATGAGTCGCTCCCGTTCCTGGCGGCGGCTCTACAGCCTCCGCAGACGCGCGTTCCCGAGACAACGCTTGGTCAGCTCCACCGTCTCGCGGAGAGCCTGCATGCTCTGCTTCTGATTCAGGTGCTTGCGCACTCATCTCTTCCTGCTGTCCCCCCCGAGTCCTTTCGCAGCCACCTGCGTGACCCGTGCCTCGACGCGGCTGACCAGCTCGCGGTGCTGCTGGCGCCCGTGCTGGCTGCGCCCGCGGAGGGAGGCGCTGCTGCCGCGGGACAGCTTGGCGAGGCTGTCCGTGGACTGCGGCGACACTTGCACGCAGGATCTGGAGCCGCGGCGATCGGCGCAAGCACTCTCGTGGTCCGGGAGCTTTGGCGCTCCCTGACGGGCATTCTTCATGCCCTTGGGGCTCACCGCATGTAGGCGCGTTCCCCGGCTGCTCCATGTAGTCTAGTGCACGGCTAGGCCGCGGTAGGAGTTGCCATGCGTGTAATGTTGCTTATTATTAAACTGCTCTGTGTGTGGCTACTTGCCGTTCCCTCACGCGCGGCCGAAGGCCGCGCCGTCGAGCGTCGGCCGCCTTCGGCGGCCGACGCGAGCGAAAAATTCTCAGCCGCCAAACTAACAATGAGGAAACAGCCTAGGGAAGGCCTTAAGTAGGGCCGAGAGGCTAAGGGCAGAGGCTAAGGGCAGAGGGCAGAGGCTATTACTCTCTCTCTCTCCCTCTCTCTCTCTAATGGTCCGTATATTGATAAGCCAGAAGGGTACACACATGCAATGAGAGGCAGCAGGTACTAACATGCAAGGTCGCCTAGACTATCCAACCCCACTAAGTCACCTAGAGCTCCAGAAGAGGCTCTAGGACGGTAAAGCAGTCCCCTAGGTACAATTCTTGCCCTATCCCTCCTACAGGCGGGTTCTCTGCAGCTGCCGCTCGGTTAGGAGAGCAAACGAACAAGTAACTAAACTAATGAGGCTCTAGGACTAGATCCTAGGGCCTTTATACAAGGCTGGAGAGGGCTGGAGAGGCTAAGGACTAGGCTCTCTCTCTCCTCTCTCCTAGATCTCTCTCTCTCTCTCGCTCTCTCTCTCTCTCTCTCTCTCTCTCTCTCTCTCTCTCTCGCTCTCTCTCTCCTCAGCTTGTCCCCGCCGGTTAGGGGAGCAAACGAACAAGTAACTTAAACTAATCTCTCTCGCTCAAGAGCTATTCTCAGCAGTATCTCTCGCTCTCTCTCTATATCTCCTCTCTCTCTCTCTCTCTCTCTCTCTCTCTCTTCTCTCTCTCTCTTCTCTCTCTCTCTCTCTCTCTCTCTCTCTCTCTCTCTCTCTCTCTCTCTCTCTCTCTCTCTCTCTCTCTCTCTCTAATGGTCCTTGTATTGATATAGCATGCATTACATCGTATAGAATTAACAAAAAAGCAGAAACAATCATATGAATGACTACCCACACCCCCTAGCAACCCCCCTGCGGGGGCTCTAGTGTAGCAAAGCAGTCCCCCGGGTTCAGCGGCCAACGCTGGCGGCCTGGGGGAACGCCGCCTCATCTGAGAGGTTCGACTTGTTCAGATAAGACGTCGCCTGGGAGCGCTGCAGCATCACAGACCAGCGCTGCCGGTAGTCCGGCACTCGCCAACGAGGAGATTATGATTCTCTTCACTAAGTTAGTCAACCAACTACTAGGCATGGTGCAGCCCCAGGAGCTTCGCAACATCCTACTACCTTCGCGCCTGATCGCGTTTGGAAAACCAGGCGGAGGGGTCATACCTATTGCGATTGGTGAAGCCCTGCTCCGCGTCGCCGCGAAAGCGGCTCTTCAAGCCTTAGGTCCGAAGGTTCGCGAGTTTTTTTCTTTCGGTGCAGTTCGGAGTGGCGATCCCAGAGGGGGCGGAGTGCATCATACATGTATGTGGCCACCGCAGGAACAAGGTGGGCTTCCACCAGGGTTGACAACGGTCCAGGGGGGGATTAAGGTGCTCGGCAGTCCGGTCGGGGAGGGCGAGTTCTGCACTGGCCACATCCGCCTCGCCTTGAGTGAGGCAGCATCGCCGCTCATCCTCATTTCCCAACTAAACCCGCAGCACGCCCTCCTCGTGGTGTCTCGCAGCATTTCCCGGCGGATCTCTTACCTACTAAGGACGACACCGGCTTCGCCACTGAGCACGAGGGAATGGAGGGAGTGGAGAGAGGCCTTACTAGGCTCGGCATTAACGGCGGCATAGCTTTGTATTCCCATCTCGGAGCTTGAACAGATCCTGTTGTGGCATCAGGCGACGCTACCCATACGCCTCGGGGGCCTGGGGGTGATCGACCCCGTCTCTGAAGCACCCGTGGCATACCTTGCGTCTGTCACGGCGGCCCACATCCTCTTGCAGCAACTCAACCTGCCGCCGGACTGCCTCCTCGCGAGAGCTACCTCCCTCCTCTCCCATGAGTGGTCCCCCACACCGCCGAAGATCAACCCCAGAGCCTCGATGGAAGCCAGCCTGCCGGCAGAGGCCCAAGCAAACGCTTGGAACAGTACCGATCTTGGAACCTTGGAAGCGGCAACCTGCAGCTGAGGCTGTCCAAGATAGTGAATGAGCGCAGAGTACTCGAACTGTTAGCGGACACCCTCAAGGACAGGCAGGGGGAGGACAGGGGCCATGCCATTCGCCTCATCAGCCTCAAGGGAGTAGGGGTAGGCGACTGGCTCCATGCTGTACCAACGAGGGGCGACCTTAGCATCTCCCCCGGTCAATTTTCAATGGCCCTCGGCTTGCGCCTTGGCATGGAGCTGCCCATCGCGGAGGTGTGCCCTTGTAAGCGAGGGAACTCGGCTATCTCCGACAAGAGCCTCCCCAACCACCTCCTGCGGTGTGGGGATGGAGGGGATGCAGTGAGAACCCACAATGCCCTGGTGTTGCAGCACTCAGGATGGCTAATGAGGCGGGATATAAGACCTTTCATGAAACCTCGGCTTTCTCGCCTCCAGTCCTCCGGAAGCGCGCAGACTTGGCTATTCGGGATCAGGAGTCGGGAGAAACGTGTGACGGATGTCACGGTCACGGATCCGGTGTTACACAAGCGGGACAAGAGGGCTAGAAAACCGCCGGGGTGGGCAGCAGAGGAGGCCTCGGAGGGGAAACACAGGCTTTATGAGGGCCGCCCGAGCTACGCAGGCTTCCTCGGATTGGCGGTGGAAACATATGGAGCTTTGGCCCGAGACACAGTGCACTTAATCCGCATGCTCGCCAACTACGCTGCCAAGACGAAATATAGGCGGGGTATAATCATTTGCACCAACCTTCCCCCTCTCCTCTCCCACCCCCCCCCCTCCACTGGAAACCCTGGTGTGTGTGTGCTCAGCTGCCATAGGGAACCTTGCCATGCCCGCGCCCTGCTCACTTACACACCCTGCTCACTCTGTCCTCTGCATACTCTATCTTGTATATACTCAACCATTTCACATCTTATTTCCAGGTTTGTGTTTGTTCAGGCCATGCATCTGGCTGTGGTGACTTGTTGGTGTTTGATCGTACCACTGACTAGCCATGCCATGTATTGATGTCGGATGTTTTGTTATACGGTAATACAAACAAACCCTGAGCTTAGAAGGAGCAGCCATGCACACGACCACCACAAAAAAGTGCAACAGAGAGAGTTACATTTCAAGAGATCAACACGAACAAGACAGCTAGAAAATGTAATGTTTTATCCCTGCTACACTTCATGCAATAAACCCTGGGCATTGTGCTGGGACTTGTACCCTGCGCGATTGGGAATGGGGGTTAGTGAAAGGGGGAGCAGATTGAGCAGCTGAAAATAAAGTGAACAGGCAGAAACAAAGCGAGTTGCGGGGAAGAGAGTGAGTAAAGGGGAAGAGAAGAGAATGAGCACAGGAAATAGAGTGAGCAAAGGGGAAGAGAATGAGCTGGGGAAAGGGAGTGGGGCGGGGGGAGGAGAACGACCAGGGGAAGCAAAGTGGGGCGGGGGGAGGAGAACGACCAGGGGAAGCAGAGTGGGGCGGGGGGAGGAGAATGAGCAGGGGAAGCAGAGTGGGGCGGGGAGGAGAATGAGCAGGGGAAGCAGAGTGGGGCGGGGGGGAGGAGAATGAGCACGGGAAGCAGAGAGGGGCGGGGGGAGGAGAATGAGCAGGGAAAGCAGAGTGGGGCGGGGGGAGGAGAATGAGCAGGGGAAGCAGAGTGGGGCGGGGGGAGGAGAATGAGCAGGGGAAGCAGAGTGGGGCGGGGGGAGGAGAATGAGCAGGGGAAGCAGAGTGGGGCGGGTGGAGGAGAATGAGCAGGACGCGAGCGATGGGAGCGGGAAGCGAGGGCGATGGGATGGGGAAGCGAGGACGATGGGATGGGGAAGCGAGGGCGATGGGATGGGGAAGCGAGGACGATGGGATGGGGAAGCGAGGGTGATGGGATGGGGAAGCGAGGACGATGGGCGTTGAAAGCGAGGGCGATGGGCGGAAGAAGCTGTGGCGACGGATGGGGAAGCTAGGGCGAAAAGGGGGAAGCGAGGGCGACGGACGGGGAAGCGAGGTCGACAACGCCGTACCGCCATGTTTCACACTCGCATTCGCTTTCCTTTCTCTCCCTCGGTCCTCTGCTTCCTCTCGATTCCGGCCGTTAGATATTCTCACATGTTAGACGTATCTGTTTTAGTCTGGATACTCAGTTTCCTAACACTTACGTTCTAACTAGCTGGTACTTACGCATGCTGTTCTCAGCCTGCTCTAAGAACGCTCTTGCGGGCTTTGGCGGAAACGTGGGTTTTGTGCTGCGTGGGGGTGGTTGGGTTTGTTCAAGTTTCTTGAAGTTGAAGATGCGATACACTGTGGGGCATTCCACCTTCGCCACCTCCCTCCAGCGAATTTTTCTCTCGTCAACCTTCGTGCAACCCCTTTTCAAGTTCAATATCTATGAACCCTTGCCATTCTAGGCGCCGGCTTTAATATTGGTTGAGAATTGATGACGATGCGTCTCTTCAAAGTCGACCACCAGCTTCGATACCACTTAGGATCCGGTCACTTTGAAGACTTACGACGATCTTAAAGCTTTTGTATACATTTGAAAGAGGGAGGTTCAAAACTTTTGAAATTTGAAATATTGGTAACCCTATTACAGCTAGTTCACTCGCTGAACAAGGGAGGGAGATCTCCCCGACACCCAGCACTTGCTGGTGATTCAAAACTTTTGGATCGGCAAAAATAAACGAAATCCCGCCCATGTGAGATCTACGCCACTACGCTCTACTGGCAGCAAAATAAGTAGCTAAGCGCATCGCGACTCAACAGCCAGCGCAAATTACCTTCGTTTCCGACACAAACCTTAACGCGTGGGGCAGTTTCTTGTAATTATAGGGATAAACCAAGAAGGGTTCCGCCCTCTCACGCGGCGATCCCGCGGGACCTCCTCTCACGGCCTCACCTCGTTGTCCGTCGTGTTGCCTCACGACGGTGCCTCCTCACGCCACCGTGAACGCGCACGACTCGTCTCAAACTGCCGAACACGCACGATCACAGTCGCGGCCCGATCGCGACTGCATCGCTACCACGTTTCCGCACTAGCCCCGGCAGCCTCACTTGAGTGCACGAACGGCTGCAGAAACGGGAGCTTCCAACCCCTTCCCGCCTCCTCGTCTTCCTTCTCGCCACCCCAATTCGCGTTCCCGCCTCCCCGTTTCCCCTTTCCGCTCCCCAGTACCCCTTCCGGTCACCCCGTTTCCCCTTCCCGCTCTCCGGTTCCCCTTCCAGCCTCTCCGTTTCCCCTTCCCGCTCCCCGTTTCCCCTTCCCACCACCCCGTTTCCCCATCCCGCTCCCCGTTACCCCTCCCCGCCTCCCCATTTCCCCTTCCCGCCTCCCCGTTTCCCCTTCCCGCCTCCCCAATTCCCCTTTCCGCCACCCCGTTTCCCCTTCCCGCTCCCCATTACCCCTTCCCGCCTTCCCGTTAACCCTTCCCGCCTCCCCAATTCCCGTTCCCGCCTCCTCGTTTCCCCGTCCCGTTCCCGTTTCCCCTTCCCGCCTTCCCGTTTCCCCGTCCCGCTCCTCGTTTCCCCTTCCCTCCTCCCCGTTTCCCCTTCCCGCTCCCCGTTTCCCCTTCCCACCTCCCCGTTTCCCCTTCCCGCCTCCCCAATTCCCCTTTCCGCCAACCCGTTTCCCCTTCCCGTCTCCCCATTACCCCTTTCCGCCTCCCCGATTTTCCTTCCCCCTCCCCATTTCCCCTTCCCGCCTCCCCGTTTCCCCTTCCCGCTCCCCGTTTCCCCTTCCCACCACCCCGTTCCCCCATCCCGCTCCCCGTTACCCCTCCCTGCCTCCCCATTTCCCCTTCCGCCTCCCCGTTTCCCCTTCCCGCCTCCCCAATTCCCCTTTCCGCCACCCCTTTTCCCCTCCCCGTCTCCCCATTACCCCTTTTCCCCCCTTTCTCCCTCTCGTTTACTCCCCTTTCCCCTCTGATTTCCCCCCCTTCTCCTCCTTATTTTTCCCGCTTCTCCCTCTCATTCGCCCCCTTGCTCCCTCTCATGTCCCCCCTGTCCCCTTCTCATTTCCCCTAATGCTCCCCATCATTCCCCCCCTTTCCCCCTCTCGTTTCCCTCCCATTCACCTGCTCATTTCCCCCCCTTCTCCCTCTCATTCAAACCCCTACTCCCTCTCATCTCCCCCCTTCTCCTTCCCGTTTCCCCACCTTCTCCCTCTTGTTTCCCCCCCTTATCCCGCTCATTGCCCCCCTTTCTCCTCATTTCCATCCGTTCTCCCCCTCATTTCCCCCTTCTCCTCCCTCTCATTTCCCCCCCTGCTCCCTGTCATGCCCCCCCTTTCTCCCGCTCATTTCCCCCCTTCTCCCACTCATTTTGTCGCCTATCGAGAGGTGGCGCCTCCCGAAAGTATGCGACAAGAGGCCGCACTGAAACTGCCGGTCCCCCATAAGTCTCTCCTCGCCCCCCGCCGCTCGTCATCGCAAGGGAAGGCACGATCGCACGATCGTCGCTTGTAGTGTGGCCCAGAGCGGCATCGCCCTGCCACACAGGTTCCACGCAATGCATTACCCTTCCCCTCCCTGCATCACCCTTCCCCCCGCTGCATTACCCTTCCCCTCCCTGCATTACCCTTCCCCTCCCTGCATCACCCTTCCCCCCACTGCATTGCCCTTCCCCTCCCTGCATTACCCTTCCCCTCCCTGCATTACCCTTCCCCTCCCTGCATTACCGAATTTATCCCCCCCCACCTCCCCTCCACCCCGTTTTTTCAGGCCCCCTAGTCCGCGTCCCCCACATCCCCCTCTGTGGGGGGTAGGGGGGACTTAGGGGGGACTTGGGGGGGACTTGGGGGGACGTGGGGGGGTGAGGGGATGAAAACCCTGACGGAGGCAGGGGATTTAGAGCTGAAGCCTCGCTGGGATCCGGTGTATGACGGATATCACTGGGGAGGATGATGATGCTGATGGCGCTGCTGCTGCTGGTGACGCTGGAGCTGCGCTGGAGCTGCTGCTGATAATGCAGCTGTTGCTGCTGCCACTCCTGATACTGCTGCTGCGGCTGGTGGTGTTCGTGGTGGTGAGAAAGCTGACGACACCAGTCGAATCCGGAGGGACAACACTGGTGCCGAGATTTGGATGAGGAGAAATAAGTGATATGAGGGGGGAGGAGGTTCGGAATCCCAAGGGGCAGACATCAGTAGGGAGGGCTACAGGAGGGATTTGATGGAAGCAGGCGATTTAGAACTGAAGACCCTCTTCCTCCTAGGAGGTCCAAGTTCTCTGCAGAGCACGGTCACCCGTGGGGAGGGGCTGGGAGGGATGGGGGACGCGGTGGGGAGTGGGGAGTGGGAGGAGAGTGGGGAGGAGGAGAGGGTGCACTGGAGAGGAGAGGTAGCAGGGAAGGATCGGCTGTAGCGCCGTCCTCTGCCCCTGCTACAGCCGCAGCAGGAGGCTCGGGAGGTGCTGGGCCGGGAGGGTTTGGTCCGAACCTGGCCCCGTTTCATGGTCCGGGAGGGGCGCAAGCAGCTGCGGCAGCAGCAGCCGGGGCAGCGAGGGGCAGGGGGGGCAGGAGTGGGGTATGGTCCTGCTGCTGCTGCTGCTGCCGCAGCAGCAGCAGAGGCTTATGGGTACATGGGCGGGATGGGAGCAGCTGGGGGAGGGTTTTCTGGGGGAGGTTATATGGGCCGGCGTATGTCAATGCAGCATTGCACTTTGGTATGGGCCGAACCCCGCCCTCTTGGTTCGGGTCAGGTTCGGCGGCTTGGGCGGCACAGTTCCAGGCTTTGCAGATGGGTCGGGGAGCTGCGACGGGGGGGGTCGGTTCGGGTGGGATGGGAGGCATGGGCAGCAGGGCATCTAGGCTCGGCAGGCTTTGGTTCGGCAGGGTATGGCTCGGCAGGCGAATGGGGTACTCCAGGGGGTAACCCTCATGGCCACGTGTCATCAGCTCATCCTAGTTATGCATCTGCCCAGATGACGTCACCTCGTGCTGTTGCCTACTCGGCAGCAGGAGGAGAATCCAGGTACACGTCAGCGCGAGGTGGCGAGAGGAGGACGAGCGGATTGCAGGCCGTTTTGGGTGGAGGGGGCAGTGGTGGTGGAAGGGAGGGTGAGGAGAGAGGGAAAGGCAGGAAGGATGGGGTTGAAGCTTCTGGCTCTTCTCCTGCTTCTCTTGATGCTAGCCCTGCTGCTGGTTCTGCTGGTGCTGCTACTGCCACTGTTGGTGCTGCTGCTGCTGTTGGTGCTGCTGCTAGCGTTGCTGCAGTGTGTGCATCACCAAGCGGGGGGGAGCAAGGGGACCTTCGCAAGTCCACCAGCAGAGACAGAGCAGGAGGAGCAGCAGCAGGTGGCACCTCAGTTGAGCCATGGGACGCGCATTTGAAGAGTGCCAATGCCCCCCGATTCCACCCCGGCACGTCACACTGCACGCCCAGGAGCTCATCATTCCACCCTCCCCATGCCCACGCCAATCCCCATCCCCATCCGCACCCCCATGGGCATGGGCCTAGGCATGGGCCTGGGCCTGGGCCCGGGCATGGGCATGGCAGTGCTGGTTCAGGTGCGCGGGCTCGGGGGCTGAGTGCTACTGGTCTGGGTAATGCTCCTGCCAGTCGTGCTGCTGCTGGTCCTGGTGCAGTTGGTACAGGTGGTGGTACTGCTGCTGGTGCTGCTAGTGGTGGCAGTGCCGCTGGTAGTGCGAGTGCTTCTGGGGCTTCTAAGTCCACGTTGGCTCACAGGCCGTCTATACGGACGCTGTCACGCATGCCCAAGCCAAGGGAACCTGGCAGGGACCAGGATAAGGGGCGGGAGTAGGGCGAAGGGCAGCTGAAGAGAAGAGGTTCCGTTGGCAGTGCTATTGGCCCTGCCAGCGGCAGTGGGGTTGGTGCTGCTGCTACTGGTGTTGGCGGTGTTGGGATTGGTATGATTGGTGGTGGTGCTGGTGCTGGGTTTGGTGGCGGTGGCAGTAAGGAGGGTGGGGCGAGCGCAAGGGGAGAGAAAAGCGATGGGGGCGCTGCAAGGAGGAAGGAGGCGGGGCACAAGGTGCCGGTGAAAGGGCAGCCAGTGAAAGCGCAGCAGAAGGAACAACAGCTGAAAGCACAGGGGAAAGAGCAAAAAGGAGCAGGTAAGCAGCAACAGCAGCAGCTGGCAAAGGCAAAGGAAGAGTCAAAGAAAATGCAGCAGCAGCAGCAGCAGCAGCAGGGGAACACAAGGCTGAAGGGAAGGGGGCTGATAAGGAGGGGAAGGTTCAGTTGGTGGCAGCAGCAGCAGCAGGGAAGAATGAGGCACCACCACAGCAAGCATTACAGCTGCTCATAGGGAAACGACCCAGCAAGTGATACGGCAATTGTGTTGGTGGGGGTATTTGTGATCTGTATCAGAAGGAAGCTATGAGGGGTTGATGTGACTGGCTGTCTTCAGGTGGTGTGTAGCATGGATGCTGTCTTGGCATTTGAGTCAACTCAAAAGTCAACTCGCTACAATGTCATACGGTGTGTTTTCTACACGGAGAGCTATCGTCGCTTGGAAGTTACTTAAAAGAGTTGGAAATTATTTGATTTCTGCTCATAAGAGTTAGTACAGTATAGTGTTGTTACAGCCCTACAGTCAGGGCTGATTTTATCAGGGTAATTACCCTGATTTCAGGGTGATTACAGGAACGTCACTTGGTGGAACCTGCAATCTCAGTTTTTGTACTTTGTGAACTCTGATCCAATCAGATTAGGTACTTAACGAACTCTGAAATTTTGTAACTAGGCTCAAAGTAGTGTACTTGCCGACAATGTCTATGTAGAGTATGTTAGAATGGACTAAGCTATTAGCGGAAGCTTTAGTAGTCTTAGAACTTCCTCCTAAAGCCTAGGAATCTTAGGAGCCCACTTGGACATGAACCATGCTAGAACCAAAGTGGTTTTTAAGAAGTGAAGTTCCAACAAGAGATAACCCTAACCTATAGGGTTTGGGAGGTGGTCCACTCTAAAGAGTGTACACCACAAGTTCTCCCAACCCAACCAATGTATTCTACACTACTATAGTGTAGATGTATCACTACATATGTTTATTGGAGCAACCCGAATTAACCTTAATTCCAACACCCCCCCTTGCTCCAATAAGCATTAAAGGTCACCCATAAATCAAAACACAACCCCTCCAGCGAATGAAGCCTTGGCCTTCGCAGCCATCACTCGCATACTGAGTGCACCTCGACCTCCTGCTGGCGCACCGCATCCCGTACAAAGTGCCATGCCACCTTAATGTGCTTGGTGCGCTGATGGAGAACGGGATTGTGGGCAAGGGAGACAGCAGCCTCATTATCACAGAGCAAAGGAATAGCCCCCCCATCCCCCACATGCATCTCTGCCAACAAACTCCTCAACCAAATGGCCTCCTTGGCCCCCTCCGATAGAGCTTTGTACTCAGCTTCAGAAACGCTTGCTGCAACACTGTCTTGCTTTTTGCTATACCAGCTGATTGCTCCTCCTCCCAGCTTGAAGATGTAACTAGAGCGACTCTTGCCATCAGTCTCACCACCCCAATCCGAGTCTGTGTACCCAACAACCTGCTCACCACCTTGGCGCTCATACCTGATGACACGATCAGCTGTGTCGACCAAGTACCTGAGTGCTCTCAGTGCAGCGCGCATGTGAATGCGTCTTGGTGCCACGCAGGACTGTGCAAGGGTGTTGACAGTGAAAGACATGTCAGGACGGGTGGTCATAGCAGCATACATCAAGCTGCCAATGAGACTCTGGTACACCTTGACATCAGCTGCAACACCTTCTTCAGTCGACCAAGTACCATTCCTGATCTTAGAGAGATCATTGGGTGACATTGGAGTATGCACCCTATGGGTCTCCTTCAGCAGATCACCAAACCTTCCCTGGAGACCACGGACATACTTCTCCTGACCAATCTCCAACCACCCATCCTTGACCGACCTGCGAACCTCCACACCAAGGTACGTGGATACCTCACCTAGATC